AAACAGGTCACGAACAGGGCCCTGGGGCACCACTAGCCGACGTCGATCTGCCGAAGTGTTGATAGCCTTGCTCGAAGGCTGGAGAGCGTAGTAGAGGAGACCCGTTGCAGCATCAAGCTCGGTCCGCCGGAATCGAATACCAAGGCGCCCACGCCTAGGTGGCTTGCTGTTGGGGTCGGCATGGCCGGCGTACACGGCCTGCCAGTCAGGATCTGTTCGGTAACCCTCCACCAGCTGGGGGTAGAGGTCGCTGGAAAGTTGGAGCACGGTTGTGCTGCCTGGCGCTGAGGTGGTCTCGTTGGCCTGGTTCGCGGCCGCTGCCACAAAGGCAACGCCGCCATCACGGATCGCCGTGCCATCCTCGTCCTCACCTAGGACTGGCTCGGCGGCAGTAAACGTTGTAACGTCCTCGTCCTTCACGTGCATTCGTGAGAGGGCGTCAGCGGCCACGTTGTGCTGGCCTGGTAGGTAAATCACACGCATATTAACGTGCTGAAGCGTATCCATCCACCAACGATCAAGGCGCCTACGCTGGGGTACTGGGCCCTGAAGCTTGGTTGTCTCGAGATACTGGAGAGAGCGATGGTCAGTGTACACGTCGACAGTCTGGTTGCCAATCAAGTGGGCGTAGCGCTTAAGCGCGCGCACAATGGCCAGCAACTCTTTGTCACGGACAGGGTAGTTCAACTCGGCGTCGTGGAGCTTCTGCGAGAAGCAGTCCACTATGCGGCCTTGTTGAGAAAGAACGGCGCCGATGCACTCGTCAGAGGCGTCCGTCTGCAGGGAAAATGGGTACTGGCCCGAAGTGTCTGGAATCATGAGCACGGGACCATCGAGAAGAGCCTTTTTGAGGTCCTCAAAGGCTGACTTCATCTGAGGGGTCCAAGCCAGCTTGACGCGCTTGAGACTGTTCTTCGCACGATCAGTCAGCGGCTTGGCGAGCTTGGAAAACGAAGCGATGAAACGGCGGTAGTAGTTGGCGAAGCCTAGGAAACGTTGAAGTTGAGTGGTGGTAGCAGGAAGTGGCCAGTCCCGGAGGGCTGCCAGCTTCGAGGTCTGCATAGCAATGTTGTTGCGGCTCACGGTGTGGCCCACAAAGTCGACCTGGTCCTGGAAGAAGGAGCACTTGGCGATGTTGCACTTGAACTGCGCATCGCGAAGTCGGTCGAGAACACGTCGAACGTGACGTTCATGGTCAGCCCACGTTGGACTGTAGATCAAGATGTCGTCGAGGTAGACAATGACAAAGTCGTCAAGAAAGTCGCCGAGGAGCTGATTCATGGTCCGCTGGAACGTCGCAGGAGCATTGCACAGGCCAAACGGCATGACGCGAAACTCGTAGGAGCCATAGCGCGTCGTGAAAGCAGTCATGGGCACGCTGTCGGCGGCCATGGGTATCTGGTGGTAGCCGGAACGGAGGTCCAGCGAAGTAAAACAGGTTGCGTCGCGGAGACGGCTTAAGCAGTCCTCAATCCGTGGCAGTGGATATGCGTCTTTGACGGTAACCTTGTTGAGGGCACGGTAGTCGACACAAAATCGCCAGGAGCCGTTGGACTTTTTTACGAGGAGCACAGGGGATGACCAAGGGCTGGTCGAAGGCTGGATGACCTTGTCTCGAACCATATCGGTCAGGAGCTGCTTCAGTGCGGCCAATTCGGCTTCGCCTCGGCGGTAGTCTCGCTGCTTGACGGGTTGCGCATTGTCCGTCAAGATAATTTTGTGTTCAGCAGATTCTACGCCTCGCATAGCCGGCGCCGGCGCCTGAGTCGGTCCGTCGTCGAAGAGGTCAGAGTACTCGTTTCGAATGTCGTCGATCAGAGCATCGCGGTCGTTGGAGGTGGACGAAGACCGTCCTAGGGTGGCTGAGAAACAGCGCACAGAGTTGTCCGGCGTCGTAGAGACCCAGACGAGATAGGCGGCAGCAGACTTCTGCCGAAGGAGTGAACGGAGGCCAATAGGTGTTGGCGACTCGATGAAAGGCAGCTGTACAGCGCCTGGAAAGGTCGCGGTCCGTTGGCGAG